TATGGTAAACAATAAAGATAATTGTGTCTTAGTGACAAATGAGTCTTTTGATGCGTCAATGCATTAGCAATAATGGTTTGAATTTGTTTAAGACCGCTTTTTCGAGAGACTGTTCTTAATCGAGTATGGGTGAGACTGAGTGAGCGAAGATATTATCCCAACAAAATCTTTTATCAGAAGACTCCCTCACTGTACTGACAAGAGGGTGATGTGGTGTGACGAATTTGAAAGTAAACAAAAGAAGCATTCATGTCACAGTTCTATTTTATTTGCACTTAGGTTTTCATCTGAATACAATTTTCCACTTCTGTGAAAGACCTTAGTCGGTAGTTTGAGCTCGGAAACCTTGCGTTAAGGCTTCTCTTTCAGTTTTACATACATCATTCATGGTCGCGCATATGTTTCTGATATCCTTTCGAGAATCTTTCATCGCCTGCAAGAAAAAAAAAAATAAAAAGGATGTCATTATTGCGTTACGTTGGTCATGGCCACTGATGAAACCAGGTTCTGATGTATCGACGACTTCTATTTGCGTGTTTTGTAACGATCGTTACTGTCACAGTCGATAGTCACAGTTACTTGCAGAGAAGCTTAGTTTCCACTTCCCTGTATGGAAACGCTTTCAAAATTTAATTTAATTTAATTTTACATTACATTTTTCCAGACCGTTAATTTAGAGAAATCCCATACAACAGAATTATGACGATGCAAAACTAAAACATACCAAAGATCTTAGTCCTTGTGGTCTTTGTAGATGGTAAACTGCCTCAGTTGGGTACATCAAGCAGGCTGCAAATATCAGACAAAATACCACTGCGAAAATCTTGCCTTTCATGATTAAGAAATGAATGTAGAACGGTCTTTTCAAGATGCAATGATACAGTCAATGTAGTTTTGTGGTGAACTCCAGTCTGATAGAAAACGAATTTGAAGATCATTTTTATAACAGAGTTTGAATGGGCATTTACTCCCTCTAAAGAGGGAGTTTATATTTTTTAGCTCGGAGCGTTTTTCGTGTTTTAGTGGCTTGTTTTTTTTCATTATCATCATTTCTTTTTAGATTGAAGCACCATCACGAAATAATTTTGAAAGTTTGATCGAGATAGAACTAGAGGAGCAACATCGCCGTAATTGGCAATTTTACCAAAAATACTCAAGTTTGCATATAGAGAAAGACAGGTGGTTAATTTTGAGCTTTTTTCGTAGAATGAAGAAAGTCGTTATTCGCAGTCATAAGCATTTGAGCAGTACGACGATTTCGACATCACAGCAGAAAGGTAGAATTGGTAGCTTATCGAACCTAACGATGACTTGCTCCCCCTGCAAGTTTTCTTTAACTTATGATCAGGCTTAGAACATCGAACCGCGAGATCCTAAGGGTTAAGCGTTCGATTACTCATGGGGTGTTTTGGACCCACGCTTTCACCCACACTCTTGTAGCAAAAAGGTTCATCTTTGTCATTCTTAACCACCTAAATTCTAGTTCCAAGATCTTTCCTTATTTCTATCTCCTAAGTGTTGGACTACTCTATAAAACAATTCCTTTTGTTTTCAGTTATATCTTTGAATTGTGGCAAATGTATAAGCAAGGAATTTACTGGGGGTATGCATAACTTTCAACTTTCTCAATCCGGCTTACTCCTTTCAGAAACAGGCTAGTCCACCTGTGAAAACAGAAAGACGGAATTTTTAGTTGGTGATTATATTATTTACTCTTCGCTGTGAAAACCGTCATATTTATGTGGAAGTGTAAAGGTAGTTTTGATTTGGACTTTTTATATAAACAGTTCTCAGGAAAAGGAGAGATTTTAAGTGAGAAATCCATGTACGCAACGGAAAGAGTTTTTAGACACAGTCCATGCATCTTTTTAATTTCATTAACGTTTTCATGCAAGATACTTAACCAGTCCCTGAGCGATCGCCTTGATTACAGAAATCTTGCGCTAAGTGTGAACCGCGATAACCTTTTCGGAAAAGAATTTTTTTTTAATGAAAGTCTGCAACCAGTCCCGAAGTTTGGAAAATTCTCATCGCGGTTTCTTATTCATTCTTCAGCTACGACTTACCATTCTCTATCACATTCTAAAAAGGGTGCATTTACAAAAAAACAAAAACAAAAAATCGCAGAAGTAACACTTTTAAAAGAGAATAAACGACACCTGATTAACTCCCACACTTCTGCATCCATCCACCAAATTGCTTCTTCACCCGAGATGGGTTATTCTCCTAGGCGTAGAAATTGATCAATTTCATGGTAACTCAGTAGTGTTTGTCATTTCATGTACTCTAAGTTAGCTGACTATTCTTAGCAACGATCTTACACTTTGTAGTGAGGCATATGGCTGATAAAAGCACCTAGTGGAATGTATAACTCAGCCAAAAGTGCGACTAACCTATTTACAACAAACAGAAAGCACGAAGGAGATACAGCTTGGAAGAAAAACGAAGTAATCGAGAAGTAGCGCTGGCATAAGTGGATAGTGCACCACAACCATTTAAAGTGAACAAAATGGCTTCGGGCGTGCTCAGATGCATCTCAGGAGCAGGTCACTCGAACAAGCACAAAGAAATGGGGAAGTGCTTTCTACTTGATGATTGTGGAAAACCCTAAAAGTTTTAAGAAGAGTGGTAGTTGCCTGCGGTAAAACTAAAAGTAAAAGAAATGCCGAAATAAAAAATCAATATGTGGAAGACACGGACCTATTTCAGTGATAATGACGGCTACACAACTTGTTATCTAATGTTAGCCATTAGCCGTAAAACGGCGGGGAAAAATGCAGCCGTTAGGCATAAAAAATTGACAAATTTTAAATCATTTGCCGTAAAAAAAACACATAACCATAATTTTTTTCCATCTACCATGTGTCATGTTGAAAGAGTCGAAACGTTAGACTGTTATCAGGATATGTGTCTCGTAGCCAACTCGGGAAAACGGAAAATTTCTCTACATCAAATAAACTCAACAGTAGCTCGATCTACAATTACGTTTACCATATAAACTATGGTGTTCTACAAGGATTCCCAGCCCTGAGAAGAGCCGTAACAACACACCTGAAAAATACGATATTTTTACACGTGTGTTTGATATCGCCAATCAGCTGCTGACTCGTCACTCGCCTTTCGCGCCACTCAGTCAGGTTGATGAATGAACAGCAAAGCCTTCACCTCTCAATCCATGGTTATTTGTCTGAATTTTCTCGGATTATGGCCGAAATATCCGTACGGTTTACAGACAGCGACGTTAAAAGTTTCCTAGAAGGGGAAGAAAACTAAAATACGAAAGCAAAAACGGAAAAATACGTATTCAGTGGCCTTGGTAATGGCATTTCTCGCGGCTGAGAACGAAAATCAACAACTTCAAGATTTGCCACAAGCCACTTTTGGCTGCGTACCTATAATATTTCTTCTGTCAGTAAGGACAAAGTCAATAACTGAGAATTTTGTATTTTGAAAGTTACGCTCATTCTTATTTTTGAAGTGATTCAACTAATTTTTTTATCTTTTATCTTGAGCATTAGCGCCAACGCATTTTACAATTTTTATTCGGGGATTGTCGATCCTTTTATTTTCTTTCGTTGATAAAGTCGACTTTTCTTGTCAGTGACGGGCTATTATGTTTATATGATAAACAATTTAATAGATGGTTGCTTGAAGATTTGGAATTTCTCTTCGAGTGTTGAACACTTTATTTTCTGGCGCCTTTTCCATCAAAGATTATTAGTAAGTAACAGCCGATTATTAGGGAAACCTGAAAAATTTCCGGATTTGGTAAACTGCAATGAAGGAACACCAATGCTCCTATCATCAAAGTATATTAGTAAGTAACAGCCGATTATTAGGGAAACCTGAAAAATGAACACCAATGCTCCTAGTAAGCTGCGGAAGGTGAGCTTCATGGCTATGCGAATGCTTTCTTTGTGTAAACTTACCTATAATGTCCATATGATGTGAAGGTAGACCGTCTGAAATTGTCTATTTATTAATTACTCTTGATTGAATGTAATCAGTCACCTACAGATCTTGGGGATGCCTTCTCTTTGGAAGATAGAGATTAGGATCAGTGGTCCAAGATCGCAGGGATCATCGTGCATCAAATTTCGGAACCGATGAATCGTTTTTTTTGTGTTTAATTCATTGATTTCGCCAATGCACCATGATCCGAGTCATCTTTTATGAGGATCCGGATCATATTGCTTTTCCCCAGTTTTTATAATTTTCGTTAGTGTTCTCCATTAAATCGAATTCTCCAAAATTGCGAGAAAAAGACGGTCACTCAAAGAACCATCGGTAACTTAAAATAACTGAAGTAGTTGAAAAAGAAGACGTTTCATGTGCGCGATACATTTATGGACATTTTCCACGAAGAACCGCAAAACAAATTATAGATAACACTAATCGAAATATTCACTATGTGTGGGAAATTCTCTCTATTATGCGTCGCACGGGTATACGCTCCGGACGTACTTAAAATTTGAACTTTTCAAAATTAAAATTTTAACAGGATATTCTTCAGAATTCTCGCAAGTTTCACATATACTTACTCATTTCTCTTTTAAGACTACCATTCAAAAGCGGTTGATAAGATTTCATTAATCACACTGAAACTTTTAGTGTTAAAACTCATAGTGATAACTAAGACGCAGCTTAGCTTAAGAAGAAAATATTTTCCGAAATGCACTTAATCTTGATCTAAATAAAAAAAAAAAAAACACTTATTGAGGTAAAGCTGTGAAAGCTTTCCTCAAATGTATGATATAATCTCAAAAATACATAATCTTAACATCGTTAACAAATATATAAGGTGCAAGTGTTTTGGTGAAAATTTTGAGGGTGATTCAGAGAGTGATTAAGAAGTCGCTGGTTGTGGGAGACGAGACAATAAGAACGATTGAAATGACCGCGAACAAATGTTCGATGTCAACAGTAAATTCGTTTAAAGAACAAGTTTTTTTAAAAAAATTGCACCCCATATCCGATTGCTATTTATTATTGATAAACACACGCAGTGTCCCAAATGAGTGTTAATCACTAAAGGTGGGGAAAAATCATTGGAGGAGAGGTGCAAATCGACGCACACTTTTCATTAAGGCGATTTCAACGAGATAGAGCAGTTTAGCCGAGACCCTGTTGCGACAGTACTTAAAAGAGAATTTCACCAGCGGTACTCGCCAGAGGAAATTAAGTGGTACGGTCAATTTACTCGCACTAGGAGCGATGTATCACAATTATTATCTTCTGCTTCAAGGATTCCTTTTGCTTGCTTCCCTCGAGGAATTGTCGTTTCTCAATAATGGTGAGTAGCCTAAGGTATATCTTAGATGCTTCTGACTCTTAGCGAGATACCGGAATTACAAACAAATGGGTTTTGTTTGATTTAAATTCTTAGCCAGTTTGGTATTTGTAACAACGACAATTTCTCGACACCTTTCCAAAAATGTAATTAATTTTCTATTTACGGGCCTAAGTTTGAAGAAAGGGTTCAGCGTTCATAAACTCGGGAAAGGGAAAGCTGGTTCCATTCTTTAATTTAAGATTCTCTTTGAAATTTTATTCATGCATAAGTCTACTTGAAAAAATAAGTTTTTTAGACAAACCATTTCATCATTAAGGTTCGTTTAATGAATTTAGGATATTCCTCTTAAAGAGGCGAAATGCCATTACAGACTTTTTTGTTATCTTGCTGTTAAAACAGGCTATTGGCTATTTTTTCAAAACGATGATAGAAGCCCTGATACAATTCTTATCTGTTGAAGGTTCCTTTTGACACCTTATGGTGAAAATCATATTTTCTACAGAAATATATAGGAGATACAGTTCGTCTTCAGTTGTTTCGCCATTATGAAGCAAAATCGAGTTTAGCCAAATCTTAGAAATTGTCTCACTTCCCGTAGTCAATTTGTGTAACTGTCAACATAAACGGTTTTTTTATTACTATTTTGCTTTTTGAAATCTTACTAAAATTGGAATATTTCAAGCAAATAATTAACAATGTACTTTAAAAAAATAAAATAAACCTTATCAATCCTATTAAAGACGAATTTTAATTTATCTTGACTTTTCGTACGTAGTTCTTTCTAGAATGCCTTTTTTCCCCTGAAGTTGAAATTAAGATAATCATGATGTTTTGACTAAGAAGAGAAACCGCAAATAGAAATCATCGACTCTATTAAAAACAATTATTGATACTAAGATGGTTGTTTCCCCTTTTAGTTGGAGAGTGGTAAGCCGCTTTTAAATTCTCATTTTTAATTCATTAAACCCTTTTTGAATGGGCCAAAACTGCTGAACCTTAATAAACCCAAACTCAGGGAATGAAAAACTGTTATTATTACCTCCTTTTGCGATGTTGTGACAGCATTTTATGCGGATCAATTCTCGGTCACTATGATGAAAATTTAATCAATTGTTTGGGGTGAGACAGCACAAAGTATAACAAGTAGAAAAATTATTTAAACTTCTTGCTGAACACAGCAAGAATCAACATGAAAGTGTTTCACGTTTTTTTTTTCATTTCTTTTCCTTTTAATATATGCAATATAAAGCCCAGGTGTTGAAACGAAAGTATCCATCCATTCGTGGCTTCATTTACCAGTCACTCATTCACTAACTAATTCGCTTACTCACTCGCGCAAGCACTCACCTATTTCACTCATCTATCCATTCATTCTTTCATTTTCTTTTTTCATTTATTCGTTCACTTGTCTTTACAACTATTATTTATTCATGCATGCATTCATTTATCTGTTTCCTTGAAATATAATTCGCTCAGTGAGCTTTGTTTTGTTAACGTTATAATTTATCTCCTTTTAGGTGCGCTGTATCAAGTGAGCGCCTTCAAAACCAAACGCAGTTGCCAGGATGACACGATGAACCTACATTGCCCGGCCCCTAAGGTGCTGAAGATCTATGGTGCAACTTACGATCAAACGAAAAGTGACAATTGCACAAGGAAATCTGAATATTGTGCTCTTGATGATAAAAAAAATTTGACAAGTGAGCGTTGCGAAGGAAAAACGGCGTGCAATGTCACAGCAGATACGAGTACAATGGGAGACAATTGTCCCGGCATGTTGACCCTTAAGTATCTGAAAGTCATGTATAGGTGTGGTAAGTAATGAATTATCGCAATAAAACACCGATCAGTTTTTAAGGGTGAGACAGTTTAAGTTAGAACCGTAGACATTACTTGTAAATCTTACTTTTGCTTTTAATAGATTAAGAAAAAATCAAAATGGTGGCGTTCCTGAATAATATTTTGAATAATTGCAAATCTATGCGTAAACGTATGTAATGTAAGGCCAAGGCTTTGTAAGGAAAGTATCCATCCATTTGTGGCTTCATTAATTCATTTGGTCACTCGCTCAAGCACTCAATCATTCACTCGTCCATACATTTATTATTCGTTCATGTATGTATTCACTTATTCGTTTCTTTGAAATTTTTCTTGATCAGGGGGCTTTTTATTTTTTTTAAAGTTCTAATTCATCTCTGTTTAGGACCGCCATGTACGGTTCCATGTAAGGACATCAAAATTAAATACATCTGCCAGGGTGACTCGATGTATTTAAGTTGCACGGCCTCAAAGGTGCTTAATATCATAAAGGCAAGATACGGGCGAGAGAAAAAAGATAAAAAAAAAATTTGCGTAGGGAGAAGGATGGATTATGTCAACACTGCTGAATATTGCGCCCCAGATGATAGGGAAGATTTTGTAAAAGGGCGTTGTGAAGGACGCACAAAGTGTAATTTCACAGTAGATACGAGTACCATGGGAGACAAGTGTCCGGGCATGTCGGTCCATAAGGATCTGAATGTCGTGTATGGCTGCGGTAAGTAATAAATTTCCATGATAAATCTCCAAAATATCATGATTTGCGTTACATCCTATCTTGCATCTATTTGATCTGTTCTTTGAGATTATGGAAGAAATTCTGGCATTACAGAATTATGATGAGCCGGTGAAGGGTCAGAGATGTAGCATTTCTTTTTTACTTGAAATTTTTAGTAGAGAAAGTATCACTTACACCACCTACGACCGTACCCCCTACTGCGTTCGCCGAAAACAAGTCTACAACGGTATTGACAAAACCTTCCTCACCCTTTAACTACGCAACTCAGTCCACGACGACTGAGATGAGCCCGAAGTATCCTGACGACAATGATGAAGAAGACGACTCCGCTGGTTATGGCTTTGTCATATATAATACTGGATACGGCAATCAGATCTCTCATGTAATGACAGCCTTGCTGTTTGTTGTAAATTTTCATTTTCAACCTCTGTAATTATCAAGTCGCCAAGCAACCGCTAAATTCTACACTTGGAACTCTAAGCAAACGACAATTAAACACGAACAAGCCTGACGACCAACAAATGGGGATATTAAGTCAACCAAACATTTGGCGCCCCTTTATTGTCTGTTTGGTGACTACGTTAAAAACAATTCTTCGTGTATTACTTATTTCTAATATATAATTAATCAATCCAAGATAATTCTGATCTTAAGAAAAGGTTGAATATTACCTTCTGACAGACATCATTTCTTGAGCCGTGGTCGTAATCGCTTAAACTCCAGAGCCCAGTTGTTGAGAGGGTAGATAACGCAATCCAACGGATAAATTACAATCCAGTGGATACTGACCCAACAAACATACTGCGCTATCTATTGGATAGAGATTCATCCAGTGGATAGCGTTATCCATCTCTGAACAAAAGGTTACAGATTTTTAAAACAATAGGAATTTTCAAGAGAAAAAGTGTCATGCAGTTTTAAGTGATTTTATTGTCCTTTAAAATTCAATTGCACTCCTGGGTCTTTCAAAGGTCTTTTGGTTTACATGTCGATAGGAGTAGTAAGGCGTGGCTCAGCATTTTTAGCCACATGTCAGTTAACGAAAATATTGCTATATTGCAGGATGGTCAAAAGAAAAAAATCAGCCTTCATCCATCCTTTGAAATCAACTGATAAATTAATGAATAATTACTCCAGAAAGAAATAGAAATAAAAATATTGATTATGTCGGTCGCAAGTTGGAAACGGAATAAATTCAGATGCTGACGTTTAAATGATTCGTTCGGAAAGAAACGACAAGACAACGCTCTTTTCGCATGAGTCAATTGAATAAAATTATAATATTTGTTTTTATTTTACATTATGGTTGACTGATTAAAAAGGTTTTTATTAGTATCTAGATAGTTTTGTTACTTTGTGAATTAGGGAGTTGAATGAAACAGAGGTTTTCTTGTTAGCTCCCCCGTACATTTTAAGTTTCAGGCGGCAGAAAGTGAGAGAAGAAAAGAAGGGAAAAGTAAATAAAACAGCAACATCAACAACAATAAAGAAGAATTAAAAGATAAAATAAAAGAAACAGTTAGGAGAAAAGTCAGTTGAACTGTAATAATTTTAAAGGAAGCGGCTTAATTTCCTCTTGTTCTGACAGCAGATAATGTTTCACTTGCCTTGGAAATTAAATTACACTTGCGTTTTTGAAGAGGGTGGAAGGTCATTCCAAATACCGATTGCCATGAAAGAAATGTATTGTTTACCCACATTAGTTCGCACTTCAGGCTGGTAAAGATTCTGTCTGGCTGCCTAGCTTGTGCGGCAGCCATGAATATTACTAGCATGTCGGAACATGTCAAATTTGTTAAATTTGCTTTGTTAAAAGGGCTTAAATGCAAGAATTTTTCCACAGAAAGTCGATAAACATTTTCTATTGTTAAGAGGCCTAATAAATTAATTAGAGTTTGGGAACTACCTCTTTATTTAAAAGTTTTAGAAGATTTTTTAGAAAAATACTGAAGTTGAAACAATACTGGATGGTCATCCAACCTGCCTCCTTTACTCAAATTTCTTACCTTTGACTAAAATAGGCGAGCAAGATGATTTGGGTGGATCCTATTGTTAAATGTGTTAAGTGAGTTCAGCTTCTCTCAGTTATAGAGATATTATAGAGATATTACAAATCTCCGCTTAAAATATATTGAGCAGAACATATCCAATAAGAGCATGCACACCAAGTGGCTCGTGAAATATTGACAAGTACCTTTACGAGGCTAAGAGACTAAACAACAACAACAACAACAACAACAAAAGCTCACGTTGCAAAATGTGTAATTCAAAACAACAATTCACTTTTTGGAGCTTCTAAAAGACTGAAGTACTCCACATTTGCTTTCCAGCTACCACCCTAACATGGCTAAAAAGTCAACTTAAATTGTTGTGTGCGCAGATAAAGAATTCTTCTTGTGAAATATAGTCAAAAGTCTTTTATACAACCACGGTCTGATCGATTAGCCTCGAGAACACCAGGGAAATTACTCTTAACTTAAGTTAATATACCAAGTGCTGGCCATCAACTCACGAGAACAGTGAAACAACCAGTTTAAGATAAATAAACGTATTAATTATATTACGGGTAAATTGCACTTTCGGCTCAAGAATACGATGTAGAATTTGAATCTTAAATCGCATGATCATTTGTCAATGCTATCTTAATAGTGTAATAAAAATGCAAATGTATTTTCAGCCGAGTTCAGCCGTTGCGATTAAATATTTAACAGCCAAATAGAGGTTAATGTATCATTTCCACCGACGTTAGAAATCGAAGCGAGCTGAAAGCTATAGGAATCAAAAGATGTTTTTTTTCTACAGGATGCTACCACCGCCTGAATTCATGGATCAAATCTCGTAGCTCCCAAGGCTATAAGCGGAATCGTGTTATCAACGTGCCTTGTTTTCATACTAACCCCAATGAACTTCAAACGCCTATAAGTATAAAAAATTATGTAAGTCTCTTAGTTTCTGAGATTGGAGAGTCTAAGGTTAAGTCTATAATTTCATGAGAGATGTTGCACTAGATTCAGAGATCAAAACTTACTCTATCTCGGCCGAAGGAAATTCTAACTGACGGTTTTTAAGAAATTTATTTAACTGCAGATTGAGAGTGGATATAGTCTATGCAAATTTTCGGTATAAATATCCTGCATTTAGGAACTTCCCTTTTCAGCTCACACTCTGGGTTCGGCAAGAATCGGAATACGAGGAAAGTTTCTAACTGACCCCTCGAACCATTAACCTTCCCTCTCTCCGTCTCCTTCCCTTTCGAAAAAGACAACAACTACCCACTCGCAAGTCGTGGGAAACAATATTGTTGAAAGTCGATAGAATTTATGATTTATTATTTTCTTGAGAAGAGAGAATTTGGTTAATTAATTGAATATTTTTTGTACTCATCTTCAAACCCTTTTGTCGCGTCAGTGGTTTAACCTCTATCCTCCCATTAAAGTGACAAAAATAGCTAATTAAAGGGGGATCGATATTTAATATAGGTTAACTGTCACAAGCGAGGGAACGCGCGTATGATCGAAGCAACAATCAATTTTAATCTTGTGTCTGACTGGTTAAGAAGGCAGCACCAGTTTAATTTCTAGGGTGTATAAATTTTTGTATCTAGAAATCAAATGATGGTTGAAAAATAATGGTTTCCCAGAATTTAGGATGCAAAGACAACACGGAGTCTTTTCCCGCAACCGAAAAATACCGTTTAAAATCAACTGCAAAAGTACAGATCTGCTTAAGCCATTCAATTTTCGACCGAAAAGCTTATGCAGTCATTCCCTATTTTACTTTTCGTCCGCTAATCACAACCAATTTAAAGCAGGAACCAATGACCGCGATCGGTAGGAGAAATGTTGTGGAAGAGAGAGGCAACGAGAGACAACATGTACAATTCTGTCTTTAGGGAGACAAATCCCACAGTCCGTTAATTTTCGTGCTCATTCTTGTTCATCACTTTCCTGCGTAAAGCCCTTTCGAAAATGCTCTCTCGTCTTGTTTAAGCCGCAATATTACCATTATAAAAGGAAAAATTTGAAAAAAGTCGAAATCAGTATCTTTTTTTCAGTTTTCAGAAAAAAACATTCCCCTTATAACGAAAGCACACTAACAAGACCACCCATCGGCTTTCGAGCAGACTCTGCTAACTTCTCGCTGTCATTGGTTCAACGTCAAGGACGTGCGGGAGTGGGCGTTCTACACTAGTGGGTACACAATGGTAGTCAGCACAATAGCTCCCAAAATGAAAGAGTTCGTCCGAAGCCTTGTAAGCATCATATATCGCTATCAAAATACTACTTTCAAGAGTAATACAGCGTGTTCTAAAGGACAGTTTTGTTGAAAATTATAGTTAAGTCTTGGCTTACAATCTTAGCAAAATTTCGAATGAGACTCTGATGTCATTTCTCTTGCGTCAAAGATAATCTACGATTGCTTTCTCTTATGTTCATGAGTCCTTCATCGAGTTCCTTAAAAATTCCTAGCTTTGTAAATGTTGAACTGTCCATTTTGTGACTCGCGAACCATGATGATTCAGAGCCATATTGCACTTGTATCATAGTAATTGCTAAGTGACGAGAGGGGACATTTTTTTAAAATTTCCTTTGCCTCGAAAAATGATTTCTCAGGGAGTTACAACTAACAAGATAATTGATAAATAAAGTGACAAGTGGAACGCGATGAATGACTGAAATATGAAGCGAGTGACAAGCTACGCCATTCATGACAGCAAAACAAGAAAATAGGAAATATACTTCGAGTGAGCTTTGGAGTACTCATCAAGAAAAACGAAATTTGGACAAGATGATTTTTGTTATAAAATACAGCCCTTTCCCAAATGTTTGCGTGTCAATTAAGGCAGCAGACAAACCCTTTTAAATGCGTGGCTTTTTTTCTTATGTAGCTAATTGTATCGTTAATTCATGATATTTAGTAATCCAAGCCTTCTCCAAGTCTTGGTCACAAAAAATCTGAGGATAAGTCCTTAAGAAATCTCTTGTACCTAAACGTGTTTGTCGACGAGATTTGTTCAAGTCGTACGTATCGCACTAATCATGATCGAATGATCTGCAAGTTCTACAACTAAGATATCAAAACAGCCCATTTACTTAATGAGCTGTTTGATGGTTTCATCCTTAATCGTGGAGTGCTGATTTTCAATTGGCTGGTCTAAAGCTTGATTGAGCTAAAAACGGATACCAATGTAAATAGCATGATGAGCGAGTTCCAAAAGAAGAGTCAGCCTAGACAATTACCATAAAGCACTGTTCAATGTCTTTTTATTTAGTTGTAGAATCATTATGGTGACTTGCTTAAAGATGGACTAAGCTAGAAACGAGCACCTCAACGAACCGAAGGAAACAGCATCTTGGCAGGTCTCCACGGGTAAAAGTTAAATCCAGTTAAGGAGATTCACAAAATTTATTCAAGCTTTTAGGCCATTGGCTGACCCTGTAGACTTGCCGCGCATAAATGAGTAGTTTCGTGAGTTAACCTGCTGTATCAAAAAGCACTCTACGGAGAAAGTCAATGTTTTCATCGTTAAATTAACGCCTACTTCTCTACTTATAACAACAAAACACGCATTAGCTCGCAACATCTCAACACTGTTAATTTCAATAAATTTCGTAAACAAAAAACTTTTAAATGCTCCTGGACGAGATTGTGCATGTTTTTTCGTGATAATCGAATGAACAATTATGGCAGATCATTATTGATTGAAACCTTTAGTAAATGAAATTTGATGTCCCAAAAAAATTTTATATCTTACCTGTAAAGCTAGGCTAAAGTCGTGTTTAAGGATGTTTTAGTAAATAAATAACGTTAAAAGGGTAGACAACTCGCTGTTTTGGAAATAAATGAGCCAGAAAGGAAAGACAATTTAATTTAGTTATTTTGTTTGATTTAAAATTCCCTTAACATATTTTCACAGATGTGCTGGAAATGACGAGCTCGCACCTAAGGTGAGTGTCGCAGAAATTTGAAGTTGTTATGAATTTTAGTTATTCTCGGTGAATCGAAGCTGCCGTTTATGTTCGAGACAACGCGAAATTTTGATTACGCAAAAACCAGTTTAATTGTTGACACATGCGAGGGTGCCCCGATTTTGATATATAATTCATAAGATGTTAATTGGACGATTTAGCAACCAGAAAAACGTAACATTTTTGTTATTACCGTCCATTCGTACTTCAGGTCGTATCGTTCCTATCAACCTCGGTTCACTGGAGCTTAAGTTGTTAACAGGAGTGTAACGCATCGAATTCGTAAAGGCAGTCGTTCATAATCACTTACTTTCAAATATGTCGGCTGGGCGGTGCTGGATTTTCCTGATATCCTTAGCTTCCACTGTTACCGGCTTTACCGAAGTAAGAGCAGGTAAGACCTTTGTAGTGCTATAGATCGAAACAAATAAAAAGGAAGTTTTAAGACTACTAGGAAACTTTCTGTTTGGGACGATAAAATCGTGTTTTGAGGCTGAAAATTGTACCTTATCTATGATGCTTCTAGATATTTTGTGTAGAGAAAAAGTGACTTATATAGATAACTAAATATAAATATTTACACCAAGTTTATGGCCAAAAATGTATGGTTCATTCCTTCGAATTTGCAGCTTATTGTTTTGAGTTGTGATCAATCAGTCTATTCCGGAAAACAAAGCTGAAATTCTAACAAATGAAAAAGACTTCCTTCAAAAAGCCGATGAAAAGAGGAAAATTCCATGAGATTCAACCCTGTTCGAAAGATAATTGGCATTTTCATTTGTAAACGTTAGATAAATTCTAATCATGATATTTACATAATCCTTACGGTTCTATTTTAATATTACTTATCTACCTTCTAATCACCCAACAAAACATTTCAGGCAAGATTTAAATGAAAAGAAGAACTTTGATATTTGTATGTTTGTATCGCTTGTCTCTTTGGTGTGCACGCGTTCGTAACAGACTTCGAATGTCATCTGACAATTTTTTTCGAAACGGATCGGAGAAAAGGAAAGATATGAAGCCAGTTCCTTTAGTTTATATGCTTCAAAGAGATAAACAAAGTTAATCCTTTTGAGGTCCTCTTTAAAAATTTTAATGTAAATTTGTGAGAGAACTTCTACCAAACGAAATGACAACAGTAGTTAATTGCTTTCAATTTTTAATGTTTACAGGAATTTTCCTTTAAACCAAGATTATTCTCAAACTAATCCTAGATTTTTTTGTATCTATGAATGAATATATTTTTTGAATAGGTTTTCTAAAATTTTCAATGAAACCATATTTCCCACCTTGCAATGAAAGAAAAAGTTATTGACAGGAAAACAAGTATTTAACAGTGAATTATCTGTATAAACCGCAAAAGAGATTTAACACCTTGTTCGAAAAGCTCGAACGCGCCAGATCCCTCGGTGGACGCCAAATGCAAAGACGTATTTTGGAAGTGTCATATATTTTTACTGAAAAAGAAGACGCTGTGCACGCAAGGCAAATATTTCTTGTCAAGCTTTCCCTCGAAAAGCATAGATTGAAAAAAATAAAATTTTTTATGAAAATTTCCTTCGTTTGAAAAAAGGACCTACCAGAAATTGAACACAGACATTTCCAATTAAAAAAGCTTACAGCTGGCTAGTTTAGATTGTGTAAACGATTCTGGAAATTATCAAGGAAACTGAACAGGGTGTAACGGAAATTCTGTTTCGTTAAGATTTTCTCTTGTGACAGTCTCCCCACAAGTCTCACTGGGAAACTCAGTAGAGTTGTATGGCTGAACCATCTAAAATATTTTGTATCAACTGAAGTACAGAATTAGCGAAGTACTTTTGTCTCCATGACAAGTATAGTTTCGTGTGTTTTGAAAAGGACTAAAAAAAAACCAATTGTTTAAAAGACAAAAATTTTGTTAACTTTCTCATGAAAGGAAATTGCCTTTTGTCGATTTTTTTTTATGTATTAAAGGTCATTGCTTTATATAGGGAGTTGCATGTAACATTCAAATAATCATACAAAATGACAAGTGGAAAGCTGTAAATGAATGAGTAAATGAAGCAATAAACAGAGCAGTTTGTAGGAATGCTTATTAATGATAATGATATTAAGCTCTGACGAAGGGCTAACGCTCGAAACGTCCGATCTGAAACTCTTTACGGTGGCTAACTTACGTTAACAACTCAGTTGATAATACTAAATTACCCTTTTATTCTCTCCCATTGACGCAGCACCACAGTTTCTTTGGAAACTTAAACCTTTGATAATTATAATGGCAGAGTTTTAAGTACTAAATAAGGAGCAGTCTTCATTGCATGAAAAATCAGTAAACTCGTCCTTCTCCCTTAAGATGTTTAGTACCAATTCATTGAAATCTAACTTGTAGAAATAGACCGAAGAATTGTCCGCTCAAAGTACGTCTGCGAAAATGACGTCATGCACTTGAACTGCTCACCTAAAGTTCTTCGGATTGAGGGTGCTGACTTTGGTGAATCATCGGCTAGTATATGTACCAAAGGAGAAGTGTCAAGTCAGCGGTGTAATCTAGTAGAGGTGACTAACATATTGAAGACCGCATGTGACAACAAGAAAAACTGTTGGATCACAGCATTGGACCACATATTTGGCGATCCTTGCAAAGGGGTGAACGTCTCTAAACAAAGGAGTTCATCTGTTTATCTCAACGTCATGTTTGCTTGTGGTAAGCAAATTTCACCTTTGTCATTGCCATGGTTGGACCTAGAGCGGGAGTTAGGGAGCCTTAGCTCTTCGTTTTTTGATAAGAAAATGATATTTTCAGCGTCATTGTGCAGTCGCATCATTTATTGTAGGCATAGGGCCAACATGACTCACTCCCCTTCATACATTTTCGTTGTTCTCTGTCCTTGATCAAAGGTAATTGCTTATTAACGTACGTCTTTGTGATTTAGATACCCCTTATCTCTATGATGTCTCGTTTAAAGACCTTTACCCTTTTTTGTTATCCTTCTACTCATGTTTTTCATTTATATTAGCTTCGATAACTCAGTTATAATCCTCTTATTCTAAAAATCCCCTTAGTAAAACCAGTGAGCAGTGGGAAGTCAACAATAAGTACAACCTTCATTTCAACTGCTGAGAACAATTCTATCATCGCCACTAACTCCACTGCCTCAATAACCTTCATTTCAACTACTGGGAACAATTCTATCAACGCCACTAACTCCACTGCTCCACCGATGAAAAGTACCGCGACGGCTAACAACACTCAAACGCTGCCTTTGACAACAACAAAGCCAAACACGAAGTCAGACAAAGAAATACCTGTATTTGATCCAAGCATGTCAGTATATTTGGGAGCACTCTCAGGCTCTATGCATGTACCGAGTTTTTCTTCTTTGGGTTTACTTGCCTGGATTTCCATATTTGGTATAATCAACTCTTATTGCTGATACAAGTCAGACGTATTCAAACGTATTTAAACCCTCTTGCCCGCAGAAAAAATCATTAATGCAGATAATTTCAGACGTTTTTTGTCTCTCTAACAACTGATATGACGTGACAAATAGAATGAGGGCGTTCACCACATGTAAGAATTGATCAGCCAGGCTAAACAATTACATTTGAATTGGCCTTAATGCGAATAGTTTTCCCTGATTTTTCCATAGGGCCAATAATTCCATCTTGCGAATATTTCTGACAAATCACTGAGATCTTTACGAATAGATCTCATCTAGCCAGCCTACGCCAACCAGTTGCAACCGGTGTTCAGCGCCTTTTGCATCGTCCTAAGGGTTTGTGGCGTGTACAGAGCCGTTTGCTGGCCTTTTTCGAGTGTCGTTTCCTCTATGCGTAATCTAGTCAACACTATAATTAATTCTAAACGCAGGTTGTCTCCCAGTTCTATGTGAATCATAGGCAAGAGGAGATACCTCGGCAATGGCTCATATCATGCTAAATAGTATTTGTAATCAAAGGTAATTACGCTGAAGATGTAATTCAGAAATGCTTGCTTTCGTGCAAATGCAAAATTTTTCTAGTTCTAGACCTGCGATCGTTCTCAATTGCCAGCTATTGCTATGAGGTAGAGGGAAAACCTCAAGGATTTCAGGTAAAAGTAGGTAAATTTTTTTGGTATAATGATCCAGGATGGTAATAAAGGTTTGTAGAACACTGGAACCAAGACTCATATGTCATGTTTCAGCATTTTAAATCTAAACTTAAATTGTATCTCAATATTTAGTTGTATAGATTTTGATTTTTATTCTAATTTTGTTTACTTATTTATTTTATTTTAAGGAAGTTTTTACATAGGGTTAACCTCCAAACTTCCTTTTCTAGAAGTACCTTTTTTTTTCTTAGTTTTTAATCTGTATATATAGTTTACCTCTAGAATAAATAAATAAAGTATATGTATGTATGTATGTTCCAAAGGGCAGGATATTGGACACTTCGATTACTTATATCATCATATATGAAGCATTTCTATTCTCATTTCTGATTATAGAACTACATTAAACTTTTAAAGTTGGTATAATCAAGATCCTTCCCTTTCTGAAGTGTTTTCATTGTCAGAGGTCTCACGCCATTTAATACTAATGTAGAATAACAGTTTGATTGATAGCTGGAAGTGGCATTACTTTAGACTATGGTCCAGGCGTGAGAGACAAGTCGCCTCCAAAGTGGCGATTTGTGAACTGTCAGAGAAAAAAATTCTTAAGACACGTCGTTGAAAGAATTTCCAAATGAGAAGGACAAGAAAGTGGCAAACGATTCGAGAGAATGCAACGCAATCATGGATGAGATACGGTTCCATTTTTTTTAATCAATCGTATCATGTAAGTATGTAAACCTTTTTAGAAGATAAGATTAGCTTTAATGTTTCAATTTCTTGTAGTGATTCGACCTCACGGAGCCGAGCTTGCGTCGCTGTATTGTAATATTATTTGATAAATTACGAGACCTAATAACTTTTCAGGGCACTACCCGTTACTTCATGCTTATGTAACTACATCAGACTATAAAATAAAATAAAGGGGCTGTTTATTTGTAATTAGCATTGTCGTCTATAGCATATTTGAAAGTATTAGGCGTAAACGCCGAATATATGATGTCTTACAAAAATCAGAATGACATTCGACATCACCGTTAACTGACGCTATGAAACTCATAAGAACTGACCGTCTGCAGAGGCTTTTATAGTTTCAAGCTTCTCAAGAAATTAAAAAAACATGATTTGATCTGAGCTCTCAAGCACAGTAACAATGCAGCATGATAAAATATTCACCGTGTAATTAGCGCTGTTTGTTTCAGGAATATGAAGCAAGTACATTCTTTCATTTCACAACTCTGCTATCATGCATTTTGACCAGTTTATCTGTTGCCATCAGCCTACCCTTCAACTGACGATGATGGCGGAATCCGATGATGACAAATGTTTTTCTGCCACATAAAGCTAGCTTGAACAAATTTTTCTTACACCAGGGCTTTTTTTATGCAAATATCTACACGAAAACAGCAGAAAAGGAAGTCCAAAATGCGGCTTTACTTCTGTATTCTAGCGGCCGAAAAATATTGGCGAATTGTGTGATCTCTGAAAGGGCGACGAATGTCTTGCTACATACATCCAGCGCAAGAGGAAACAGCCAAGGAGGTAAGCATCGTTCTCATTTTCTAACCTCACCACGAGCAACGCAAGCGTTGCCTGTGAAATTTGATTTAAGCATTTGGCGGGAAGGGACTTTGCCGTGACAATATGAGACATTGTATTCATTTTACGGGTTTATTTTGGTGCGTTTCACAAAACTTTACGCGTGGGAAAGAAGGGAACTGTTTAGGAAAAACTGAAGACGCCCTCATGCAATACGAAAGTAGTCTTCATGATGACTTTTCGGAGAGCTGGCCCGATTTCGATAAATAGCCAAAGCAAAATCAGGAAGAATCGTTTGTAGTAAGGAAATCGAGATTTTTTTCTCGAGCTCACCGAGCCCAAGTCTTGTTCCTTTTCTTTTTTCGGCATGTTTCGTCCTTTTGTCGAGGCAGAGGGCCACACGTCTTATGTGTGGGTATTTCGTGGGCTGTTAATTAATCCCAACTGTCAAAATGTCACTAGGGCCACTGAAATAACTCAAGAATTCAATAAGATTTATCTCACAGTCAGCCACAATCTAAACTTTGTAGAATCAAATATAAGTGCACATAATCAGGGCAGCAAAAAATACTCAACTCTCATTAGGAATTCTCTCTACTGTCTGCCATAAAATACTTATGATTTCAATTAGGAGAACTGGTATTAGATCAACTTGTAGTCCCCTAATTGAGTTTTCTGATTTATTTTCCTCACTCGTCTACTTGATTCTGTGTTGATGTTGTAAGGAGGAATTATATCTTGGTCACTCACGGGAGTTAAAGGGTTAATGGGGAATCGTGTAAGGGAAGCCTCCTACGAGGAAATTCCGATATTTTTTGGGTTGCTTCCCACAGGAGGGATGTGATGTAAGCACCACGGAGATCTTTGATTTAAACTTTACAGCGTTCTGTGCATTACTGCATGAAAAGCAGGACAAGAGCTCTCTCAAGAGAGATTAGGGGATTCTTGAGAGTTTTTTTTTTATATTTCTGAGCACCACGGAGATCCTTGATATAAAAATTACAGCGTTCTGTGCACATAAAATGCAAGACAAGGACTCTCTCAAGAGAGATTAAGGGATTCTTAAATTTTTTAAAGTATTTCTAACCATTAGATTTAGGTCTTTGATTTCAAGTAGTCTATTAAATGCAGATATGGTAACACTTTTTCGGCATGCTTTGTTGAATCAAAACATCATTTGGAAAAGAGTTATTTTGTTCATAAATAGGCAATAAAATAGCCTATTCCAGGCTTTTAGTTAGTAAAACGGAGTTTAATAGCAAACCGTGCAACAGTAGTAGCAGAGCGAAAACGTGGGAAGCTTGGGTCTGGTCGCGTAGAGAACGTGACTGGACCCAAACTTCCCTCGTTTATTCACTTCTCCGCTATTATCGCTTTTCGTTTTACTGGTTGGACGCCCGGGGCAGGCAAAAAAACAAAACAAAAAAGAGATTCTTAACTGTTGATATTCTCTTGGACAAAAACAAACAAATTTGAGAAAAAAAATACCAATAAGATTTTAATGAAGAAGATAACCAAAGGCGAAAATGGGGAAACTAAGGAAATTCTTCCAAAATATCCCGCTACTGTATTTATAAAAGGTGAAAATTTTAAATGGTGCATTTAAACAGTCAGACGTTTCCCATTTGTTAGAATGTGCGTGAAATGCATCAAAACATGTTCTTAGCAGGACAACAAGCAAACAGAGACATGTGGAACTATTTATAGAAGACCGAGAAAAATTTCAAAAACAACTGAAACGGCAGTCAATCACAGTAACCACGAGATGAGGGTGATCTACCGAAAATAACCTTATCTTTCTCTTCTTTTTGTGAAACATTATTCAGTCTAAAAATAGTTTAAGAACAAGATAATGAGTTTAGTCTCTTGGGTTGAAAAAAAAATAAACAAGCTGATGTAACATCTGTTCTCTCACGTTTTTATTCATTGCATGAATGAAGTTCTTTGAGTACATCCTCAAGCGACACAGTGCGCCGTAACAATTTTGGTACTTTTCACACTCATAACTAATTTTATTTTTACGTCCAATCGCTTCAGGCATAATATGGACATGTCGCGCAGAAAACGTACCTTATATATCTATAGTAAGTTTTCGTGACATAGCTACTAAGAAGATCCCATTAAAGCCCCTTTTCATCCGCTTTCCCCCGATTTTCCGGAGTTTGGGCGTTTGAATCTCACAAAGTTTTATTTTACAGTATTTTGCAGTATTGTAATGCAGCTTAAATCAAATCTTTCTTAATTTACCTCTTTGAGCTAAGAATGTTGCTTTAAATGGATCGTGTCAGGAAATTACGATCCGAAAAGAAGAGTGACTTTATTTCAATTCTCATCGGTGGAATTTCTGACCAATTTACCAAAGAGGGAAAAGTGTAGATATCCTTTTAGTCAGGACTGAAGGAAAAACAATGGTTATCGAATTACACTGACAACGATTTGAAGAATTCTTGTTCTTTAAAAGTGTAAAATCACTTGTTGTTTTATACAAAATTTTTAAGACAAAGTTTTTAATTAAATTCAATTTCATCTGTACAAAGTTCAATTTTAATAAATAAGTTAAATAAATTCAGTTTCATCTGCACAGAACCAAAAATGTTTTCAAAATTTACCCGTGAAGGGACAAACAATTCGTCGCAAAGCAAAAATATTCCTAATCCGATACAATACCTCATAAACCACACGTAGGCGTAGAGTAGATTTGAAAATCCCATTGTTTGGTGTTTTCAAACCAAAACATGGCTTGCTTTGATATTCTGCCAATGCGATCTGTTTTGTGGTATTACTGTTTATCTAGTCTTTTAATCCCTACAGACCACAATATTAAAAAACAACCAAAACAACCTGTGTAAACCAGTGCATCTATCAGCAGCAGGTATGTCTGTAAGCTTGAGCGGCACATGTCACGACGTGGTCGGTCTACAGGTGTTAATAATTTGGTTGCACTTACTATAAAAATATAACAGAGATATTATGTTAGCTCTCATTGGTCAAAAATCTATTATTTATCGTACAAGTAAACCCACAGAAAAACTGAAAAAAAAATTACTATGATTCTACATATACACGATAAGCCTCTTGGCATATTGAGAAAATTCTTCAAGCCTGGGAGTAATTTGTAAAATCTTACTCCGTAAACCGAGTGTGGCCTGGTGATGATAGAACTAGAACTGCTAGTTGAATTGTGTCATCGTTTCCATCTCACACTTATCCCTTGGAGATGAATCGCTTGATGCCTAACTTTGAATTTTAATTCTCCAAATCCTTATAGTTTCCAAACGATTGTCTTCATTTCATCGTATATGTGGTGTACTTTCTCTTCAAGTTGTTCACTTCATAGCGACATAACATCACTTGACAGGTCAACATAACTAGGTTGTTAAAATTTCGTATCGACCACAAGTAAAACACAAATGTCCTCCCATACTTTGTCAGTGCCTCATAAATCAACTTTTAAACCCCTGAGGGTGACTAGCATCCGATTTCTCCTAAAGTGGCGCTGCTGAATCACATTTCAAGGTCATGGGAAGAAAGACACTTATCTCTTTTGCTGAGGGTTATTGACAAACAGCTGTCACTCCCTTATCAGTACTACTGCATTCTATCGGTAATTTAAAAAAAAAACCGAAATATTCTTTATCTACTTGTTTATCAGTAAGATACACAAATTGGGAAAGAACTGATGAAACTTGATATAAAAAATTACAAATGATGGAAACAGAGGATATGATATCGATGTATTCAGAGATTATGTCCTACCGTGGCTCCATCTGCATTTAGGCTAAATACAGTCCTTTTTAATTTTTATCCTGTGCAAAATACTCAGTTATTAAGAATAACACTCTTAAAAACTTGGTCCTTTACTTCCGAGCGTAAAAATCATATTTAAATTTTCGCTTATATCTGGTTGATGATGTATTTTTGAAATACTGCTTTGCTTTACAAGTTTTGGACGAGAATTGCAAAGTTCAAGAATAAGGCTTAGCAATTTGGGGAGGTAATTACCTTGCCCTAAATTTCTTCTTTTTTCTTTGCTCCTCTCTGATTTCTTATTTCTTCATCTATGCTCTGAAAGATACTGAAAAATTATTATTTTTCATGTTTTAATACTTTTATCCTGTGTAAAAATTGTTCAATAATGTTCACAGATTTTTCCTAAGATTGTATCAGGAAAGTGGCACTTGCTTAAAGCGGAGCCTCTTCCGAGTGGTTTTCTGAAAATAATTTGCATGAAATAAATTTATATGACATAAAATTGCCGCCGAAATAACATTGTTTTAGGAACTTATCACGTTTGTGCACTAGCAGTGTGCTGGCGAGAAAAATAAGACAACACGCACTTCCTAGCCAGGTTTGTTTCGAGTTCCATGGAAACATTTGGTCAGTGAACTTTATGGCAGCCATCATCTACTCACACTCTGTCTTTCTAATTTTGTTTTGTACTGGCTCAGTCACGACATCGACTTTAAAAATTTCACTCGAAGAGTCTTAATCGTGACCTCTGGAAAGACGACGACCTTGCTCAGTTTCACAAAAATAGATAAATAATATTGAATAGAATAAAATAAATAATTAAAGAGATGGTGGAATCTTCCTTGAAAGAAAGTTGCATAGCTTTGACACCCAGCGCCCTCTATTCCTAAGAAAGTATAAAGAATATATTTCCTCGGCGAGTTCTTGGTAGAAGACGAAATACTCCATCAGTTTCAAACAATAAACTCTGCCACAGAGAAGTACTTCATTATTGATTAGTGTTGCGTAACGAAGATTGTTACGTAATCATGCCTATCGGTAGTTTTATTTTCCTTTTTGCTTTTAAATAATAATGCAGATTAAGATTGTGCTTGTAATTATTGTGCCTTAAAAGTCTTTTTATCTTTGCCTTTTGTGCTTAAGTTAATTCACAGGAAATTTAACATCCCGGTTAGGAAAACTCCTCATGCGTAAATCGCTTTGTGTGAGTATTATGCTATTTTTTGCCCGAGAATTAATTCCATGTCAAAGCACCTTATCCCCTATTATCACTATCTATGACAATTTTCACTTCCTCATCCTTTGCTTTGAATTATTGAAAGGGCATGTCTAAGTGGACTTCCTACATACGGGATTATGACAAAACATTTCTTGGAATCTATTATTCAGCATTCCAGAGGCTAAGGGATAAAAATTAACGGTAAGAAATTTACAGGGGAACCTGATAAAGAGCCTAGACACTTTGAAACACAAGAGACCAAGTATGCAACTAACTGCTTGCTTTTCAGTTTTATCGCGTTTAAACAACCTAGACATCTTAAAACTGTGGAAATAAATTCACATGCACAGGAAGTTGCGAATCCTTGGTATCTATTTGCCTCTCCGGAAACACTGTGAAGGAAGTGGAAATTATCTACATACTGACGTTCCTGCATGCAATACGAGATTGTCTGTGGTGTCCCTTGCAGCTTATCTAACTTGACATTCGAGCTCCGTGGTACCCGTCTTTTTTTTCTTTTTTTTCTTTTTTTTAATTTGTTTATTTATTTTTTGAATATAATTAAGAAAAAAAAACAGAAAAAAGGTTCGAGATTGCGAAGCATTAAACTTCCAATACCTCCCACCACTTTTAAAATACTGAATCCGGCAAATCAACTGTCAGGTGCGGCGCATGCGGGCCGACATCAATTAAACCGCTATTAATTACCACTGTCAACAAATCGCAAAGAGAAATGCAACCAGTCACACTTTGTCCGTCAGTGATACACAGCAACTGACCCAAATTCTAAGACACTAAAAGTTGTGGGGTCGCAACGCACGTGTCAAAACAAAACTCGCCATATTGTCTTCTTGGTCGATCAAAGCTTTGCTGGAACACGCAGTAGCAGTTAAGTAGCAGAACGAGGCGCGATGTGGAGCGTCTCGACACCGTTGTTCTTGTTTTTCTGCGGGGCAAGTTTCTTCGTCATAGGTAAGTTTAACCAGTGTTTACTTCGAGTTTATTCTTTTTAAGCGCGAGCCTTCGAAGTTGTGATAGTAAGTTTTAGGTGGCCTGCTGACTATACTATCTGTGTCATCGACACCGGAGTCGAAATTGAACAAACAAAAATATGCATAGTTTGTTCTACTTTTAAGGCGTCCAATTTAACCTCAATCTTGAGCTATTTATACCAAGACTCAGTCCTAAATCTTTCCTTAATACGAAGTTTATTTTTCATGGGTAATCTTGTTTGGAATTTAGAATTGTAACAGGGTTACCAGAAAGCCACTATTCGTAATATTGGATTAAATCATACGGCAGCAATTCGTGTTTTTGAGTGGGAAAAATTTTGATTCTGTTTATTTAAGACAAAATTGCCTATTCAGCCTAACTATTTTCCAGATGTTGCGTCCATGTCCATGTTTGCATTTAAAGTTTAATTTCATTTTGATGTTCTAAACTGAGTACGACTATCTTTCATTGAACTCGAATGGCTGCGCAGAATTTCAAAATCCCTGAACTTTCGGCAAATCTTGGAGTATTTTTAACTTTCAAACTCAAACTGTCTTTAGAATATGCACTGTGCTCACGTTTTTCAAAGTTAGCAGGCATATTTATTTATTCTCCTTTACAGAATATAATTAAATATTTATTCGAACGCGTACAATAAGGAAACTGGCTGATAGTAACAGCCGCTCAGAGGGGCTGCCGCAAAGGTGCTGTGTATTTCAAAGAAGTCCTGAAGAGCGGACTTGATTAAGTTTATTCAGCTTCATGCATCGCTGGCTCGGGGTAAGATACTAGGTCATTAATTAAACTTTGGACCAAAAGAATTTTATTCAACTGGAGATTGTTATGCAGTGTTCAACTCATCGACCGCACCAGCTAAAAACAAATTTGATAAATATTCCGCTTAATTTATTTCCTCTAACAGTCTTCATGGGTTTTACAAAGTATTTTTAGCACCAGCGCTGTTTCGTAAACAAAATATGAGTTTAAACTGGATCACTTAGTCAAAGAATGGTGTATTGCAAATAAAGGGTCGTGTTTGTCAAGTTCCAGCGGGTTGTAAGAAAAATAATACTTTACTGCACTGTGGGTTGCCTCAAATACTTCACCCAATGCTGTAACGACAGTTACTATACATCATAAAAAGCTTTTTCATTTTCTTATCAAGATAGGGCGGAGAGTTATCTTATCAGTCTGCGGCGGATCCTTTTGGCAGTTATTGGGCAGTAATTACTGCACAACAGCCAATCTTTGCAAAACATCTCTAATGGAAACAACTCTTTCACGCACGCATATTGGAATCTTTGATTCCATATCTGATTTCTGCCCATTCTTCAATCGAAAGTATTGTGGAGGGAATGAAGTGAAACGAACTTGACCGTAAAAGACGTTGAATGCTTGGTAACACAGCACTTGTGGCGATAGCTCAATGTGAAATACCAAGACTACACTTGCAATTAAATTTCTTTGTTTCCTCAAAAGATAATCTTTCGTCTTAAAATACTGATTACCCTTTCAATTAAGAATAATTCGCCTTTGATCTTGAAAGACAGCATTTGAAGAATTCATTTATCGAAAGACAAAGAGTAATTAAAACACTACCCGTCGTAAGGAGCTTAATTCATATGCAAATGCAAAAACCCCTTTTGAGTGAGTTACATAAACAAAGATATATTTCTGTTTGACTTTGGCACATCTTTCGCGTTCTTAAATGTCAGAAATCATTTTCACAGTGTTTATCACATATAAACATGTCACTCTTCCCAGGAAAATAACCATGTCTTGTCTTAACTAAGTGGTAAATAATTTGTAGATTGCGTGCTTTCGACATTTATCGTTAACTTTCAGATAAAAAAATGTTGAGACAGATTATTGGCCGATAACCATGCTCCTACACGATTAGAAAGTCTTGAAAATTGTAGAAACGCGGTAAATTAACCATAACAGGAAGTTGCGCAACTCTGGCACCCAACTGCCTCCGATTGCAAGGAATTCTCCGGTAACTCGGCTGCAACAAAATAGTTTGCATACAAACATTTTGAAAAAACCTCCCACGAGTAATCGTCATATAATATAAGTCAAAGTAAAAAGAAAAGCCACTTAAGTATTTCCATGAAGGAGCACTTCGTAGTTGCAAAGGAACGGTGAGAAAAAGCAAATGAAAATTTTATATGTTTCATGAAGGCAAGCCGATTCCCGAAAAAAATTAATTAAGTGCATTTAGTCTAATTCACAAAGATCTCTTTGCAGGTGCCTTTTTTCTTGTTGTAAAACATTTTTACGCTTTTTACTTTTGTTAAACATGTTGAACATGGCGCTGAAAAAGCGTAGAATTGACATTCAAATATATTTGATGATATTATGCAATGCAATTACTTTCTCGGTATCTCTTAATTTACCCCTTCTTGAATAATCAACCATACACTTAAATTTCCGTCCCTAGACTTTAATCACGTTCAACGTGATTCGAGCTCCAGTTGTATACTATCGGATGCCTTTTCTAATACAATTTTTTTTAGAGGAGTTATTTACAGATAGCGTTTACGTTACAGTGTGAGGAATACTGATGAGACATTTTGGTCTCCTTTTCAATTGAGCAGCTTCAACAATTTGGAATGAGCCCAATGTATTTCTGATAACCTTTGGCCTTCATTGGGGGCGATGTAAGGAAACAGATGGCCAATTTAGCTTTCTCAAAAAAAAAATAGTGATGAAACTAGCCGCCTGTCAAAATGTTTTTCATGGCCTGATGACTCTTTCTTAGTCGGCTTTTTACGATTGTAACAAGATCAAAACGCAGAATGACTCAATCATGTTCAAGCCTCTTTGTGTAATCTGCATTGGTGTGTTTTAGATACCGAGAGATAGACAACAACTATGAAGTCGTCGACGAGCCTCGAATTACAGTCCATTTGTTTCTATGCGGAGCTTCGTTGTTTTCAACGCTAATTTTCTGCTTTTTGATCATTTCTGGGCATAAGAGGAATACATCCTCTCTGGATTTCTTTCTTTATAAATTTCTTTCTAACTGACCTGTCTGTGATATGTGATAAGGTGCAATGTCACTGAATCTATGCGTTTTAATTTTCGTGTGGTTACGTATAAAACAGCATATTTCTTCAGAGCATATTTCTTGTAAAGCAGCTTAGTTCGTCTGATCATATCCCGTGTTTTAAAATTTTTATAACAGCTTTTTCCTAAAATGACAGTGAATTTTTTTTTAACAGCCCAGAGCTTTTGTTTACCTCACTACTGGCGAGACGACGCTATATATTTAGGGAAGAGAGATGGCAAATTTTCTTTAAGCTAAAGAGTAACTCTTAATTAAAATTTTATGTTATTTTGGTCTGCGGAGAAAACACTTCTTCGAACGTGATCAGTGGCTAGCCACGGGAACTGTTGATGAAGCACAATTTCCCTTTTCTACTTTGAAAACTATGAAACATTGTCTCGACAAAAACAATAAGGGGACTCATTGATCCAATAAAAAATTACATCACGATAATACGGCAAAGGCCAAGGACGAATTGAGTATCCTCCATGGAAAACTACTCGGAGGGGGTTTTTTCATTAGTTTATGAAACAGCTGGTGCTCCTCAGTTACTCGGGTTTGCAATCAGTTACATTACGTAACCAAATCAACTTTAGAAAAACTTAATAATGTCATTTCTGTGCGGTGCACGAGATTATCACATTATTCCTAGCTCATTATGACTATATGAGAGAGTGAGCTTTAAATTTGGGCGCAAACCTAAGGCGAAATAATCGATTAATAAATTTAAATTTTCCGACTGTATTGACATAATTATCATTGATCAATAAGTTTGGTCGGTAGATTAAGAGAGGGTAGTGAATTGGGTTAATGGTACAGTATCAGTCTGTTGAGAACTAAAGTAGAAACTCTTTATCAACTGCTCAACTTAACGTTTGGTTTAGTCTCCTCTAGGCCGCATTTTTGTGTCTGATTAGCTGTCGCTTTAGTAATAGTTCAGAGCCTATCAACCTTAAAAATTGTACTTGAAACCAAGTACAATCTTAAGACTTCTTTGTATATGTAGGCGTCATTTATATGCAGAGAGCTATTCGAATTTATTCAACTCATGTGTCGCCTTCAGTTCCAAAGCGCCGATAGGAGCAATAGAAACGACAACTTTATGAATTCAAAATGAAGCAAAGTTTTTCCCCATTGCATTTAAAACTACTGAAATGTATCATGTTTAATTGAAA